TTAATTACTTAAAAATGGTATGTATATTAAGTGTTCTACATGCATGAATTAAATAATTCTTACCAGGCACCTATCATCTAATTAAGAGTCCATCCTCTGGAGTCAGAATTACTAGACAACCTGGCTCTACCGTTTGTTAGTTGTTTAACTTTGGTCAGTTACTTATTTGCTTTGCAGCTTAGTTTTTTCTTCTCTAAAATGGGGATCACTATCACTTGTTTCACAGAGCTGATGTGAGAATTAAAAAAGTTAAGTTGAAAATGCTCAAATACTGCATGTCATACAATAACCTGTATGTAAATGTTAGCAATTGACTATTAGTAGTACTATTAGCATCCCCACTATTATAGGGAAGAAACCTGAAATTCGAGACATTAAGAAACTTACCTTGGGTTAGATATGTCCCGCTCAGTGGCAGTACGGCATGTGAGAGGCCCTGAGGTAGGCTCCAAACACTTCAGAGAGAAGAAACCTGCCTTATATAACTAAATGACCATAGCGGAGATTTGCAACTGTGCTCTTAACCACTGTATCATGACACTTTCACTGACTCTTCCTTCTCTAATAAAATTACATGACATATCACATCATGTTACTGACATACAAAATAATGCTTGATGCATAACTATCCTGCTGTATATGCTATCCTGGTCATGGATGAAGAAATAATTTCACCTACTCCAATCTGTACCTGGACTTTGTGAAGTATTTATATGCTAAGCAAATAGATCACACAAACTCTGCATGGTGAGGGTTTCCTTTTACTGTCTTTTCACCATCTTAGGATCAATGGCTTAAGATATTTTTTATCTATGATATAAACATTTATTCAGTAATAGTTACCCAGGTATACTAATCTTGTAATGAAGCAGTAAATGGAGACTGCAGTAATTTTTTTCATTAACTTTGCCCCAATGATTAAACATAATTCCAGCCTCCCAATCATATCTGACGTGGTTTCCCACTGAAAGCTGGCAGGTTTGGTTCTTTAGGCATGACGGTGTTTGTACTGTGCTTATTCTTGACATGCAAGCACCTTTTATTGTAGTATACATATACATTGGATTAGGATTATTTTCTTTAAATGTAAAGAAGGGGTGGTTTGATTGACATTGTTGCCTGGATTCCTTTACTTTACAAATATTGAAATCTGGGGCTAAGGCTATACAGAAGCAGTCCATTGCTGCTCATATTAGAAACCATCCTTTGTATCCATTCCTTTTCTTGCTAATCCAGCGTGGGTTTGAAGTTTCAGTTCCGTAAACACACAGGAATTGCAGCATGTTTTGGAATAGCCATTGTAGTAGATGCTCAGTGTTCAGAAATATATATCATAGGGAATTGGGCTTGAAGATACCACTATCCAGTAGGAGAGGCAGATAAATAACAAATAATTACAACCATATATGGCACAAATCAATATAGAGATCTCCAGTTTTAAAAAACAGAAAAATGAACAATTTAAAACTTCATCATCATCATTTTCAACATTTACTGTTTTTGTCAGTGTGTCTGGTATGCATGGACTCCCTACCAGTGTGCTGAGATAGTGATAAATGCTAAGACTTCCGACCTTACAGAACTTTTCATTTAAGGAAAGATACAGTGTTACATGGTTAAATACATGAACAGACATGTATGTGTGCAATGTGCACTTGTTGCATTATCTTAGAGAAACAGGAAAAGCAGGAGTGCTACAAGACAGAACAAGGGAACACAATAGATTTAATTGTTAGGAGAGGCCCCTCTGAGGAAGGGATATTTAAACTGGCACCAGATATTTGAATGACTTAGCCAAATGAAAAGTCAGGTCATGGAGGGAGAAAATTCCATGCTAGAGATTTCAATTACACATTTCCACAGAAGTCCTGCGTGGCAGCCTCAGGATGTCAGCAGTTTCATGTAGTGAGCTCCTGAAGCCCTTCACCACTGATAAGGTGTGTGACAGAGCCTCTGGCTTTGGAATGAGGGTACACTTTGCCCTCATCAAGAACCAAGTCATTTGTTTTTAAAGGAAGAGAGTTCTGTCCATGCCTCATTGTTTCTGCGTGGTGGTCTGCTTCATAGCCTGCACCCTCAAATCCACGCCATTTTCACACTCAACTCCCAGAAGGCCTGTGTGACCCTTCCATCATCACCACTGGCAGTGCAGCCCAAGCCTGTCTGTAGTGCTGGATGAAGATGCGGCTGGCATGCCAAGGGAGGTAGAGCCCAGCTAACTCTCCTCATCCCCTCTTCTGAATTGTTATCCAGGGTGGAGCCAGATTTTGGCTCAAATTTTTACCAAAGCAATGAAGGCATTCATATGTCTCTTTTGTGATTGTTATAAAAAGAGTGAGGGTAACTGACCTTGCTTCATGCAGTATTTTAAACAATGGTTAGTGGAATCTCTTACATTTAATCCAAAAGTCAAGTGAAAGCTTCCACATGAGGGTGAAATTCAGAAGACATTGCCTAGACTGAATTCAACCTTTAACACAGAAAATAATTTTTAAACTGCACATCACTAAATCATAAAGTAGTCAAACTCCATACGGTCAACAATAGTAAAAGATAAGAAATGCAGGAAAGTGCTGGAAGCTTGTGGTAATGCGATTGGAAACTGGGAAGGAGACAATTTGGTCCTGAAGGTAGGTGCTGGGTAAGCTTCATGGTGACCCCAGAAGACTCCGTCACACAAAATATAACACACCACTTGCAAGAGTTAAGCACTACAGTTTCTAACTCCATGTGCATGTAAGGTTTTGGTTGGAGAGGTGGGTCCTGCTGCCGAGGGAGCTGACCACAGCCTTTTCCCTTTTCTGTTCTGTTTTCTTTTAATCTTGGCTGGCCAGAGCTCAACTACTGCTCTCCAAGCTTCTTTGCTTCCTCACAGCAGTTCCTCCTTCCCCATCCCAGATTTCCGGAGTGGCCTGACAATGGAGATAAAAGGCTCAGAGAGGGCCCCTGAAGCCACTGGCCTGCTCTTGGAACCTCAGTCCCCGCTTTCCCTCCATTTTTGGATCTGCTGGAACCCTCTAGATATGAGCCTACCAGCCATGTCCGGTGGTCCCCGACCCTGGCCAGGTCTAGGACTGCTGCTTCTGGGGCTGTTGATCCTGACAGCCATGGTTGCCTCCTCTGTGGGTGAGAGCCTGTGGGAAGACCCGAGGCCAGGGAGACAGTCCCAGGAGCCTCAGGGCTGGGGAAGAAAATGTTAATGACACTAGCCATACTGCGTTGGGTTGCTAACCACACTTCACCTCTATCTTCCTTCTGAGGGAAGGGTGATACTGTGACCAAGGTCATGGAAAAGATCCGGCTGACTGACCACTGGCCACTGATGGGGTCAGGACTCCCTCCCTTATTCCCAGTCTCCCTGCTCACCTTCTGTCCTCAGCTAACCCTGAAGAAAGCAATGACGACCTAAACTGTGTGTGTGTGAAGACCACCTCCAGCGTCCATCTCAAGCGCATCACCAGCCTGGAGGTGATCAAGGCAGGACGCCACTGCGCAGTACCCCAGCTCATGTGAGTCCTGTTCACATCTCCACAGGGTGGCTTTCTCTTCCTCTGTCCATCTCTATCCTGTCTCTTCCTAGATTCCTGCTAAGGGTCTGAAAAGTGCATTCCTTCTCTTTTCCCTGGTAGAGCCACTCTGAAGAACGGGAGGAAAATTTGCCTGGACCCACAGACACCCCTGCACAAGAAAATAATGAAGAAACTCCTGGAGAGTTAGGGATTTCCTTCCTAATTCTGCAGTTTGTTACACTGAATATTAGAGTTCTGTGCATTTTTTAATCTAACTGCAATCCTCTGTTTATGTTATCTTTTGAGTCTCAAATAAATGCAGTGAATCAACTTGTTATGTAGTCAAAGTATCTGTTCACAATAGAGTCAAAAACAGTGCTGACACATTGCATTTTCATGTAAGAAAACATCTCCAGAATTTTAAGCAAAGCGTGTTTTGAAGAAAGTTTTAGTCCGAAAACTGAGTTTGCTTGGTTTCAGGGATTGTATGGCTGATGCATATTTGCGTATTTACTCAATTGTGTTATCTCATAACTACACTTTAGTTTTGCATTATAATTTTTCCAACAAATAATTAGTACTTAAACATTACTAAGCTGCTTTAAAAAAATACATAAATCAGACTTTGATTCTATTTCCTTAAAACTTACACTTTATTTTATTATCATATAAAATAAAAATGAAACTAGAATAAGGGCTTAATATATTGATACTTTTAAGAAATTATGTGAAAAAATATTTTTATTGGTTCTTAGAGGACATTTATATGTCACAAAAATGAAATCTTTAAAACAATTCTTGTTCACATATTACTGCCTGTAAGGGATCTTTCATTTGGCAAACTGACTGGATTTTTTATTACTATATTCTATTTACATGCCATTGGTGTTGCTCTAATATGCAGGTGTCTTAAATAAATATTCCTCAGTATTCTCAGCATCAGAAGAACCTTACTTGAAATTCAATTTTCTTTAACATACTGCATAATCTCAGCAATAGTAAGATTGTATGTTGAGCAGCTGTGAAAGCCAGGAAAGGTGCGGGTGGTATTTTCATTCATACTTCAGAAGACAACTACATACTTTGGGAAGAAAGGAAGATGTTGCATATTATTATGCATATTAATTAGTGATTACTTCTTCTCTCTCTCCTCTAACCTCTTATGAAGACCTTTACACTCGATAATCTAGAATAACCTTTCTGTCTTAATATCCTTGATATACCTGTGAAGACTTTTTTGTCACATAAGAAAGATAATATATTCATAGGACATGGAAATCTTGGAGTTAGGAGCATTGCCGAACTTATTACAATAAGCAGGAAGGCAGAATTTTGTTGAATCAGGAAGCAGTTACAGATCCTTGCTCATGAGTAAATGCAATTTAAACCAAACATGACAGTGTTAAACTTAAACTTAAATTAATTTTAACTTTAACCCAAGAGAAAATAGAGTGTGGTGGATTCCAGTCCTTTAAGGGAGAGACTATCTTTAGGACGACAAATGGATGAGAATAGTCCCAATTTGTATAAGCTTTCCAAGTGCCAGAATATCATCTAAACTTGTACAGCTACAATCATAAGTTCTTCAGGGCTAAAGAATATATGGGAGAGGTAGAGACAATGATTACCCAAATACTTGGACTTTTTCACCTTCAGTACCACTTTACAGCACTGCCCAAATTATCTTTCCAAAACACAGGTACAAGCATGCCATTTCCCTTCGTAAAATGTTCAGAGTCCAAAGTCTTTAGCATGACACCCAAGGCTGCGCCACAGTCACTTCCCCCTTGTGCTTTAGTTTCCGGATCTATGACATGGGATATGAGTTGACACTTTATAGATTTGTGGATTAAATAAATGATTTATGTCAAACACTTGAAGTACTTGCTCATTCATGGTATGTGCCTAAAAATGATTGAGACCCAATTATTTTATTACTACCAATGTTACTTTTAAAGCACCATCTCAGTGGGCTTAGAGTGTTGAGTAAGGCATTTAGGATAATGGTTTTTGATGAAAAAAAAAGTTGCAACCATATCAAATGAACTTTGAGGAAAAAAACATTGGAAATGAGAAGCAGGGAATATGATTGCTTTTTTCCATTTCCATTTCATTGTCTGCTTCCAACAGCACCCTTAGTGGTGTTCAATAATTAGTAGATGTGACTCAGGGTGTCAAAGGGTCTAAGCCAATTTTGCAGAATCAACCAGTGCTAGAATGCTGGGGCTTCATACATGTTTGCTTTAGAATTGGAAGAGGACTTTGCTGCCAGGAAAAGCCCAAGAAACACAGCAGCACCCTGTTGTCTGAATATTTATGGGTGATAAACTAGATTATACTTGAACTCCCACCATTCCCACCCTTGCAAGCCAGGCATCAGTTGGAGGCAGTCAGAAGAAAATGTCTACAGACTAGGCCTTTACTGCATTGTCATGATCCTCATCAATAAAACAAAACCACAAAACTATATGTCACTCTTGGAAGTTGTTCTGCATTTTTGTAATTTTTGCTTTCTTTCCCCTTTCTAAGGCTTTTGTGGCTAAAACCAACTTCCTTTGTGATGCATAGAGCATTAGGGGATTTAGGTGGTTTTAAAGATACATATCCATATTTTCCTTATGTTTACTATAAATAATAGAAAATAGATAATAAGAGGAAAAAAATCTTAAAACTTGAAATTTCAACACAAAGCCTGGTACAGAAAGCTGCCAGGGGGAGGCGGGGGATTAACATGATAGACAGTTATGGTGTTTTCCACTCTTGGCAACAACTAACAAAATCACAGTGTTCAATCATCGTATAAAATATTTGGGATATCTAATGATTGGGAGCCTGGTTAAGCTAACCTGTCCTTTAGTAAAGAACAGGAAAAAAAAAGACAAACTTTTAATTTTATAGGTTTAATCCCTCCTGTGCTACTATAACAAAATACACAGAATGCATATTTAATAATAACTGAAATGAATTTGGCTTGCGACTCTGGAGGCTTGGAAGTCAAAGACTGAGGGTCTGCATCTGCTGAGGGCCTTCTTGCTGTAGCATACATACTAGAAGATATCACATGGAGAGGAGAGAGAAAGAGAAAGAGAGAAAGAAGGAGAATAGGAGAGAGAGACTGAACTCAACTCATTCTTTGTAAGGATCCTACCTTGGTTATAATAACCTTCTTATCCTGTTCTAACAGCACTAATCCACTTGTGGGGGCACAGATCTCATACTCAGCTCTTAAGGCCCCTATGTTTTAGCACTGTTTCCCTTTGGATTAAGTTTCCAGTATATGAACTGGGGTAAAAAAACACATTCAGATAACATCAAAGTAACTTTGCCTGATATTTCTTCTCTAGGGCAATGTGACATGGGAATTGTACCAATATCTAGCATTTGTGGTAAAAGGCAATAAAAATTGAAAGCAGCACAGGTATCAAGCAGAGTTGGAACAATTAGCTCTTATTAGCTATGCTGGAAAATCAGTCTTCTTTCCCCAGGAATTCTAAAGATAACTGTAGGGGGGCATTTGAAATGAGGAACAAGCTATGTATGCGTACGTCTTCCATCATAAGAGATGTTAAGATGCCCTGTAATTACTCATTTATTTGATTTCCTACTTTAAATCAGACAACAGGCGTTAGATCTAATTCTTCTCTTCACTTTTTATTCCAGATTAATGTCTGACAGAGCATTGCTACATAAATATTCATGAAATGATAACTAACTAGAGAGGAATATTAATGTGGTGTTTGAGTAGTGGTGCAGCTGTAGGCTGAGGACAATGTACTTACCAGTCAGAAAGGTGATTGAACATTAAAGACACTGTTTCCAACTCTAACCTTGGAGCTCACCAAGCTATTCATAACATTAAACACATTCTTGTCCTGGTAGCATCATCGCTTTGCTGTTTCAGTTCCTGTCACATCTGTTACTGTTAGGCAGTCGACTACGTGTTTGTCTGTCTGCATCCTTCAAAAACATACTCATGCTATAACCTGAGCACAGTAATCATTATTTGATGCAGACATTGACAGTCACTGTATAAAATGTGTAATAGATAACGACACCATGGTTTTTTCCATTTCCACTGTAATTTCCACTATACCTAACTAGATCTTACATTTCTTTAATTTTCTTATTTAGAAAAGCAGATCAATGAACTGTTAATCAATCAACCTTTCCAGGGCTTTGAAATCCTGTCAGTCAGAACTCTCTTTCTCAACAATGGCCAGAGGATTTCCTTCCCTTGGAGCCCCTGCACCCCCAACTCTCAGAATTCTTTCTCATTTTTCCTTAATAAATTCATTCATTAAAAAGTTGCCTGATTTATATGTCTAGAGCCTAGAAACAAGAAGAAACAACAAACCTATTTCTGATAAGAAATTGAAGGATATTAAATATCAAAATATACTATGAAAAATATACTTAAAATCAAGTTTTTCTGATGGTTCATATTTTTCCTAGTTGAAAGTAGTATCTTTATGCTATTTATGCTATTTTCATTTGAGGTTTTGCATTAATCTTTAAGTTCCTAAGTTTTGTTTCTAAAATATCAAAATCATAACGATGTTTTCATTTCCAAAGGATATTTCTTATGTAACATTTCCCAGGAGGAATTTTCTCATTTCCTCCTCTTTTGTAACTTTGGCAATCCCATATTTTTTCTTTTTCTGCTACAATATTATGATCTCATTTATTTACTAGTTACTACTTCCGGATAGCTCAGGAAACACAATTAAGAAGCAAT